TAAATAGGTAAAGTAAACTTACAACACAAGCAAACAATGTTCTAAACAAACCACAACTCAAAGGAAACCAAATCCAATTCGAAAACAGAAAGAATTCCTAAGTCGTGAACAATCCGAATCCGAATAGGACTCGGATTTCTTGCTTCTCCAGGCAGCAGCTTCACTGTCGACACGAACTTCTGCCTCTTTGTTCGAATCCTTCTAGGCATCAATCCGCTCATCCAATCCCACGACGTTGCTCAAGAAAGTATGTAGTTTCATGTGGTAGAGAGCTTGAAGCTCGACTCATGCTGACCTCCTTCGTACAAACCTCCAAAAGTGCCAACTCGAACTCACCTCCTGCCTTAGCCAAATTCTGGCAGATTCTCGGTTTCAACATAGGGTTTTGATAGGCTTCTAAAACAACCTTCCTGGCCTCCTTTTGATCTCTAAAATGTCCCAATGGAATCAGAAACTCTTCCTCTGCAAAACAAAAGCAAGAACTTGGATTTCCACCACACCAATAAGGAGTTATAGCTGTCCAAAGTAGTGTACCCGAGACGTGTTCAACACTTAGCCAAAGTTCAGGAAGCAAAGTGGTGAATATGATTCTTCCTTGGACAATCAAACCAAGCTTGTCAATGGCCTTGAATGGAATCATATCAGGCCCCCCCTCTTGAAAAAGTGTTGCCCTCAACACTTTGGTCCTCCGCTGCTCGAACCTCACACAGAATTGAACCCAGATAGGATCCCAAGAAGGGCCTGCACACTCGAAATTTCCCAGAAAAGGGTCAGAGTTCTTCACTTGTCGAATTGGGGCTTCTGAATTCCAGCATCCCTCGCCCAATTGATGGCTTCCATCGTCTCTGGAAGGCTTCGAATCGGAATTCTGGCCGGGTAGTATCCCTCGAATCAACTCCGTCGGCGTCGATTCGCCGTTTCCCCCTTTCCCGCCACCGACGGGTTTCAAAATCCCAGAACCCAGATAAGTCGATTTCGAATTGGGCGTTTTTCCCACAAGGATCGTTGTGTCGAATTGATCACTTCCAAAGCTTCCCCTGACCTCATGTAATGATTTGGCAGTCGTGGTTTGGGTCGAATCACCCCCGATCGCCGCAACCAATAAGCTCGATTTTTGGTCGAGTTTTGCCATTTTCAGAGCAATTTCGGCTCGATTTGGATCCAGGAATGAAGGCATGATCACGTCAATCGAAGTCGCGGGTGAGCTTCCTGAGGTGATTTGCGTCGTGCCTGCAGCCTCAGGTACGTCCGAATCATTTCCAGCTGGGCTGCCCCATTCACCCTCTCTCCTGCCCTGCTCCGGTGCCGTGACACAGGGTCGTCGGCGACGAGGATTCCTGGGTTGCTTGTACCCCGTGAGCATCAGTCTCTTAAGCACCGCGTTGCTTCCTCGAGGATCCTCGGAGCCTTCCATCAGATCGTCCTTCTTCGAACGGAGCTGATTCGCCTCCATCTGCCGTCGATCCGCCCTGACTTCTTCCGGCGACATTGGCTGCAGAGTATACTGCTTACCCAGATGACGAACTGTGTATTGGTTGGTATCTCCAAAATGACAAACTCCCCTGTCGAATTGCCAGGGTCTCCCAAGCAGTATATGGGCAGCTTGCATCGGTGCCACATCAAATTCGAGCTCATCCCTATACCTCCCAATTTCGAAGTTTACTTCCGCCCGCTTCGTCACTCGAATTGTGCTCAACCCAAGCTTGTTTACAGCATCTTGACTGATGACATTCGTACAGCTCCCGCCATCAATGATTACTGAAAGAACCTTACCTTGGACCAGGCAACGGGAATTAAACAAGTTGTCTCGTTGGCTGTAATCGGGTTCATTCGCGATGGTTAGAGCCCTTCTGCTGACTCCCAGAAGATGCCCAGGTGCAGGAGCTTCCATTTCAATCTTCTCATCGACCTTCTCCTCCTCGCTGGACTCAGATTGCTCGTCGTCAGTGAGATATGCACCGTCTCTGATCACCAATGTTTTTAAATTAGGACATTGATTGGCCTTGTGGCCGCGTCCATGGCATTTGAAGCACTGTATACCACCAGATCGCTCAATCGAAGCAGGGTTCGTGTTCTTGGCAACAGGCTTAGAAGAATCAAACCGAGTTGAAGTCGGATTGGGCTCTATAACTGGCTCGGCCCCCTGTTTGCTTACCGGGGTAAACTTCCTGCCGGGCAGCAATTTTTGTTGCTTCTCTATCTTGATGGCGAGGTGCAAGGCGTCTTCTAGGTCCACAAATGACCTTAAATCGACTTCTTGCCTGATCTCTCGATTTAAACCGTGGAGGAATCTCGCAATTGTAGCCTCCCTGTCTTCTCGCACATCAGTTCGCATCAGCAGCAGCTCTAATTCACGGAAGTACTCCTCCACACTACGCCCTCCTTGTCGAATCGCTTGTAACGATTCGTGGAGCTCCCTCTGATAGTATGCTGGCACGAAACGATCGCGCATCAAACCTTGCAGCTCTTCCCAGTCCGTGACTTCTGGTTGCAAGTTCTGCCGTCGTCGGAGACGGGTTTTCTCCCACCACTGAGCTGCATAGTCAGTGAATTCGAAGGTAGCCAAAGCCACCTTCTGTTGTTCTGTGTAATGACCACACTGGAAGAAAAGAACCATCTTCCGCTCCCAATCCATGTATGCCGAGGCATTAATTGTGCCCTGAAACGCCGACACCGTCAATTTGATTCCCGGTGGGATCGCCGGCAGGTCTTCACGATTGTCACGTCGTTCTCGGCGGCCACGATCGTGATGAGGTTCGGCGACGACAAGACGTCGTTCCAATTCCTCAATCCTATCCAGCAGCTCCTGATTGCCTGCCGGATTTGCGTCGCCGGGTGCTCCCTCTTCACGGTCTCTGTTTTCCGGCCGAACAATGGTATCAAACCTCTGGTCAACTTCCCTTCTGAACTGACCTAATTGCTCTTGGATTTCAGTATGGAACCGCTCCCCCATTCGATCCAGAAGCTCATCCATGTTAAACGTTTGCCCCGCCATGGATTGCTCTTCGAATTGCTTTCTCAATTCCTGACGTCGGACTGCAGGATCACTGGAAACGGGACCCTTTGATCTCGTCCAACGCGTCGTACTGTCCACTGCGTTTGAACCAGGCTCTGATACCACTTGATGAACCCCTAAGCAGGGTATAATGTCAAAGTTACGCAGCAAAGAGGTCTGGAACCTCGGATTATGGTCTCGAACAAGAACTTCCACAAAACAGGGCTGTTTTATGGTTTGGATGTGAAGTTTCGTGCAACTTTCACCCGGGAAAGAGGCTCGAAAACTATAAGTCGAAGCTTGGCCACGTTCAATGTGACTAATCGAACGATACAAGCACAAGATCGAACTAGAATTTCCCTAGGACGATCTCAAAACCCACAAGCAAGAAGCTATGGCGATAAACTCTCGGTTTATTCGATTAACTCTCAAAAACTGACTATTACATCATGGACGCGAACTTAAATAGGTAAAGTAAACTTACAACACAAGCAAACAATGTTCTAAACAAACCAGAACTCAAAGGAAACCAAATCCAATTCGAAAACAGAAAGAATTCCTAAATCGTGAACAATCCGAATCCGAATAGGACTCGGATTTCTTGCTTCTCCAGGCAGCAGCTTCACTGTCGACACGAACTTCTGCCTCTTTGTTCGAATCCTTCTAGGCATCAATCCGCTCATCCAATCCCACGACGTTGCTCAAGAAAGTATGTAGTTTCATGTGGTAGAGAGCTTGAAGCTCGACTCATGCTGACCTCCTTCGTACAAACCTCCAAAAGTGCCAACTCGAACTCACCTCCTGCCTTAGCCAAATTCTGGCAGATTCTCGGTTTCAACATAGGGTTTTGATAGGCTTCGAAAACAACCTTCCTGGCCTCCTTTTGATCTCTAAAATGTCCCAATGGAATCAGAAACTCTTCCTCTGCAAAACAAATGCAAGAACTTGGATTTCCACCACACCAATAAGGAGTTATAGCTGTCCAAAGTAGTGTACCCGAGACGTGTTCAACACTTAGCCAAAGTTCAGGAAGCAAAGTGGTGAATATGATTCTTCCTTGGACAATCAAACCAAGCTTGTCAATGGCCTTGAATGGAATCATATCAAAAACTAGACTGATAAGGAATAGTTAAAAAACCACAAATCTAGAAAAATACAGGATAATGATAAACTACCAGGACACTGATATCAATACCAGTACTCACATATGAGTATAATCATAAACTACCAGTTCACTGACATCAATACCAGTTCCACACCAAAAACCCAGATCTGGGTATGGTAGAGAGAGATAGTGGGACAGAGAGAGCTACCTCAGATTCTTCGTCGTCGTCGCCGAGAAGGGGAGGATGGCCAGTGTAGGAAGGGGAGACGGGTCGTCATCTTTGCCGGGAATGTGAGGAGGGTCATCGTCTTCTTTGTCGATCCGTTCACGGTGCCAAACTTGTGGAAGGAGATGGAGAGTTACGGCAAGCTTGGCGTTAACGTTGCTCGGAGAACAGCGACAATCACCATCTAAGACATAGCCCACGACGGAGGATGTGGGACGGAGGGTGATGTGGACTGTGACGGTGAAGAGGCGACGACGGCGAGCAGGGGAAGAGGGGATCGAGGGAGAGAGGAGGAAACGAAAGGGAGAGAAGAAAAGGGTTTCGAATTGGGGGTGAGAACCGTTTTTCCCCAGATTCTTTTCCTTTTCCAATGTTGCGAGAGAAATTAATTATGTAATTAATGTCTAAAAAAACAGGTGATTAATCCTTACCATTGAATTAGATTGATGGTATCTAAGATGGGTGTCAAAAATCAAACCTCCTTAAGAGGGTAGTCACGCTAACCGCTCCCGTGGGATGAGAGTATTTGTTACTAGACCTATTCGACCAGTAGCTTAGCTTCCCACCTTTCCACATTTATCTGCTTTGTGTGTCGTGTTGAATGACACATGATGGAGCATTATTAACTCACACGAGAGAAATGCATCAGTTATTGATGCGTGTGTCCTAAGCCCTCCAAACACAAGTTATGAGTGTTCTGTGATTTCCTTCAACTTAGTGTTACATTAATATTGATTCAATATATTAGCAATCCGTCCAGGTCCAACTCCAGCCAACCTATACAGCTAGCAAGCAATTAAAATGACGGAGAAGGACAAGCTCGGTGCTACAACAAACAATCATACACACATGCCAAATGTTGTTGCTGCTGATTGCAACCCCACCATGTGTGGCCTCATCATCATCATTCATCAAGAACAATAAAGCTACACGTTAATTCCTCTTGTATGGGAGAGAAATCATGATTTGGATGTCAATCGCTTTGGGTTATGCTCTGGTTGATGGGTGAACTCGAAATCGACATGGACGAAAGCTCGTTCCACTTCTGGGAGTCGCTCCATCTTCTCTTGGAGTGTCTCGCCTATGTTATGGGCCTCGCACAGAGACATGTCTGCGGGCAACACTATGTCTGCCTCCACAAAGTAGTGACAGCCAAACGTATAGGCCCTTACAGTGTCAATGTGCTTGATCTCCTTGTGGTGGTTCCATATCAGATATATGAGCTTTGCCAAGTACTCCGGTGGCGCAGTTCTTCCTATCAATGACCCCACGTTCTCCATCACTGTTCCTGACCAATTCCAAATTGTGTACACCGCTATCTGCATTATATTTCATTTTGATGTTAAGTTACGAGATAGTTAGTATAGTATGTGTTACTCATTACTATTTTGATGTTGTCAGTGCATACAATAAGATTAGAGGAAAATGAGCATCACTACTTACAAGAATGGCTCCAAGTGGGTCTAAAAACCAGTAGAATTTGATGGACAATATAGCAGCTGCTAGACCGATTGAGTTGGTGATGACGTCAAAGAAATGGTCTTGCGCGTAGGCCCTCACAATTTCGTTCTGGAATCGGCGGCAATATACGGTGAGCCCAAATTTGATCAGAGTGACTGATGCCATGATCCCAATCATCCAGTTCACTTTGTTAGGGTCATCCTCTGGTTTAGCCTGCACCACATCCACAACCCATGGATATATATAAGCATAAGAATGAATGAATGACTAGTCTTTATTCTATCCCTCTTGTCCATCCCAAACAACCAACCAACCAACCTTTGCGATGAGTTCCCTCCCAGATTCGAAGATGATTTGAAGCCCCAAAGTAGCCATTACCGAGGCGAAAACCACTATCCCCTGCAGAAGAAGCAAGGCTCCCATTACATTTGAATCTTTCTGGAGGGAGGGATGACAGTGAGAGAAGTTTTAGAAAGAAGTGATTGATTACCACGGGTTGCATCCTCTGCTTTCCAATCGGGTACCGATACTGATTGGGCTTTCTCATGGCATGATCAGTGAACCAGAGAATGAAGCCAGACATGAGGTCCAAGAAAGAGTCCACCGTCGAAGCTATCACCGCCATCGATCTGCTCTCCACTGATGCATACACCTTGGCCGCGAACAACACCAAATTCGCCACGTTCGACACATAGATTGCCAATTTCTCCCCTCTTGCCACTTGTTTCAGTTCCTTCTGTACTCCTCCCACCATCAAAGTAAAAGTAAACCAACCACACACGACTTAAGCAGCTGCCATCTCGTTCTCGACACGGCCGGCCGTAACTTGAATGAATTTTGTGTGTGTAGGGTCAGGAAGTTGTTACCTCAGTCAATTCCCCAGGCAGAACACCCATCTCGGCAAAAGAGTCCACTTCGTTGAACTCCTTGAGAAGGTTTTGCTGGGCCCTGTAGTATTGGGCAACCTCCCTTTCCTTGTCTGTAGTTTACGATCAATAATTCAAGTATGTTAATGTTATCTACCTAACCTACCAATTAATCGTGACTAAATTGGAGATGGACGTAGTCACGTAGATGAAGGTATCATCATAAATAAATACTTGTAGTATTAATAATCATGTAAAATGTAATTACTCATAAATGGTGCAAGAAAAGAGGGAATATTGCAATTCTCAGAGACAGAGTGGCCCTGCCTCCGACTCTGCCTCTGATGCCGTTGAGGATGGGACGGCAACTGGAACTTGTCGATGTCTAGGCGCCATGATGGTACGGCGGCGACACTCTCTCCCGGCGGAGGAGGGGACAAAAGCTCAATTCTGTAGTCAAACGAATCTATGCGAGGACTAGGTGTGCGTGAACCCACCATCCTCAATTAATCTTCTCTCTGCCTCTCGTCTCGCCTACTTAGTTAGCGACTCATCTGTTTTAGTGATGAAGAAAAGGGGAAGGAGGGATGGTTTGGTTTGGTTTGACAGCCTTGTATAGTACTCGCTAGTCCATGAGTGATCAATATATACGATACGCATCTCTTCCTCCCTCCCTCCCTCCCTCTGTAACTGGAGTGGCGATAAAGAAAGGAAACGAAAGATGGTCCGGTCCATCCAGGCCTTGTCTCGAATTGTTTATTAGCAAAAGCAACTAAGAAAAAACCCAAATTGCTTGCGTTGCGCATATGAATTGTCGGCAGTATTCATGCTCAATCAATATATTCGGTACTACCACCTAAGAGAGTTTGAGTTTTTCCCCCGGTTTTATTAGTTAGGAAATTCAATTCAATTGGGTAAATAATAATCTCCGAGGCAGGAGCAGGAAGGAAAGCAGGACAGACACACACTGGCCGAAAGCTGAAGCCTATTACGTACTGCTGCTACTGCCTTTTGTGTTGGAAGAGCTACCAATTCAACTACCCCACTACTGCTGCTACTGCCTTGTAGAAAGAAGTGGGAGCATACCTAATCCGCAAGCGCTATATTAATCATTCTATTACGTAACGTGCTTTACTTGAGTTCTTTCACTGCCGGAAAGGATAAAAAGGGTTCACATAATGGACCATGACGTGGATCCATCCAAATTGGTTGGTTCTAATTGCCTTTTGGGGTGGGGGTCGTCTTTTCTTTTCCACAACCAAGTGCAGCATGCAGCAGCCTGCAGTGCAGTGCAGTGCAGGCAGCTGCATAATATATGCCTTCAATTCAAACAATCCCACCCACGTCGGTCCATGAGTGCGTATGCAATATGAAAGCATTTAGAGAAAACTTAGATAGACCAACAAAATAACAAAGTTACAGAGAGAGAGAGAGAGAGAAGAGAGTATAGGTATAGTTACAGCAGCAGCTACATACATACTTGGTGGAAATGCAGAGATACCGAAACAAGGCCGAGTAGACCGGACGTAGAGATCGTCCGCCGCCGCTGCCGCCATTACCTTGATAATTTTCAAGTCGTAATCATCCAGGTTTAGTCTCCACGCCACCCCTTCCTCTGCAGTATCTTCCATACCGTAACAACAATCCTCATCTAATTTGTCACCACTCCTCCCCTGATCCTCCCCTGCTCCACCCACCATGCTAACACTACACCAGAGTCCAGACTACTATCCTATTCCTATGTAATGTACTATTGATCCCTTGGCTTGGCTTGGCTATAGTTGCTAGCTGTGGGCACTGAACATAGATAGAGATGTATACAGATCGATCTCGCCGCCTGCCCTGCCCTGCCCATATATATGTTCATAAAATAAAAGCACTCCATCGATCAGTCCATAAAATTGGACGCGTGTTCTCCATGAGTATCTATTGCTTGCACCGTGACTGACTGTGACACCAACGCTCTGTTCCTAAAGAACCAAAAATCCGATCCAACCAAAGCTTAATTATTTCCATAAAGTCTGTTCTTGCGGAGTTAAAAACTCAACTCACAAAGGCATGGGGGCATATACTTTGTCCTTGACTAACTCTTCTTTGTCCCATCCTCTGTTCAGGCATAATCCGCCGTCGAATGCATATCCTCTAGCTAACAGCTGCCTGCCGCACTAGCAAATATCCACTTTGCCTGTCAATGCGATCCCTGACCCGCCGGGCGATTCCAAATTATATCATGTCAATACTCAATAATCTTGTTTCTCCTTTCTCTAGTTTATTTCAGTTCTTGGAGTATAAACCTAAGTACATATATACATCAAATCAAGATAATAATATGACCATCATTTATAAGTATACAACGGACCATTAAACTTTTTTACCGACCAACATCGCATATATATGAATCAAATTGTACAGCGACAAATACAAGATTAATTCAGTAGATAATTGTCGTTGTTCTATAGAAAATGGACAATATTAATAATTTCTATTCATTATTGTCATCATTTGTGAATTAGTCAATAACCTGAGCAAGTAATAAAATCATTTCTCGATCTAATGAACTTGCCATTGGGTTAAGTGTTGAGGCTCCAGTGGCATGGCTTTTGCCTGCAAAGTCAATGACCAGCTGCTAGTGGATCAAAAATGAAGAAACATAGAAACATTCATCGGTAGCAACATATATATGCATGGCACATAATTTGCTATTCCCTTCTAATTTAATCATGGTATTCCATGTTTGATCCACAAAAACTCATAGACAATATAGAGAAATTAATAAACGTGGAATTGTAGGCTTTAGTTCTTACTTTTAACTACACCAAACAATTTTAATTACCTATTTATTATTTAAGAAAAATGACAAAGAAGAGCTGAGTTGCACTCTGTCAACTTGAAAGGGAGTTGGAGAAAGGGATGACTTCTGTCTTCTGAGTTCCAACTTCAAGACATTTGGGACATTGAGTGAAAAATTGGATTTGTCCTAGGCGAGATTCATAATATTTGGAATTGCGATGTTAGTTGGTCTTAATATTCAATCTTGTAAAGGTTGGATACCTGTAAACAATAATGAAATTATTTGTAAGTTGGATACCACTCTTGACTATTTGGTATACAAAGTATTAGACTTGTACATTAAATCCTCTATAAATTAATACTCAATAAATTAATAATCTAGTATAAATTACTAAATTTTTCAGTCCGACTTGGACCAATGTAAAAAATGAGAAAATTTAATAAAAAATATAATAATAATTTTTTAGAACCAACATACATAAATACATGTATTTTCAATTATATAAATATATGATTATAAACTTGTAAATATAAAATTCATTAGGAAATTTATAATATAACTAGTATAACGTAGAAAAATATGAACCTATAGTAGTTTGTTTCTTATTGAAGTTCAAGTTCAATATAAGTTAATCTTGAACTTTTCTCATCGCACTCAAAATCTTCGGTGTTGTCTTCTCTAATTGCACCAAGTAGTTTTGAAGAGTCGATGCGTCTCTAAGTGCTTCCTTTCACGCGATCGGTTCCAAAGATGTTGAATAATCATGTCCTTCTTTCTAAATCGAACTCCTAATGACGCCGACCACAATTTCTTCTAAACTTTGTGTCTAGATACATTCATCATTTCCACCCGGATACTCCAGCAACTTACTTACATCCATCTTGTTATCAACAACTAACTTAACACTTGTCATCCTTATTGCAACATATAACAATTTAAGTATTTCCTTGTTTCATTTTCTTCTTTCGAGTTGTTTTGTTGCAAAGGAATGATCAGCTTGTAACGTGAAAAATAAACCAGTCTCATCCATGTGAATTACATCTTTCCCGGAAAATTGATCCATTTTTTCGTCTTATGGACTCCAACTTGCTCTCCATATCTTGTGTATCGACCAAGCCGCTTTCTCTAAAATGATGAAATGACTTGATGCATGTCGGTTCTTGAACTTATCAATCCATCCTTGGGAAAGTTGATAATTTGTAGGAGGTTGAGGCCTGAGGAGTTTCAATGGTGCATTTGCCTTCTCCAAAATTAGATCACATGTCATATTCACTTGATCTTGGTTTTGAATAAATCATACAAAAATAACATTCTCCATGTCTGGTGGCTTGGGAGCTCCTCCTTGATCTAGTTCAACCGATAGGTACTCCGACGATCGCTTAAGAGTTTTATTATATACTTCTTTGACTAACTTTCAAATGTAATGTTTGGTCAAGTCCATCATATCTTTTTGGGTGCATGAGGGATGATATCTCTCGTACTCACATAACTGTTTACATATTTGATCGGTCATGGTAGATTTTTGAACATGTTTCAAGTGAGAATTTAATTGTTGATATGATTTTTACTATGTTTATGCAATATTATAGTAAACGGGCCACCATATAATCGATAAGTTATACTAAAGATATGACCAATGAATATAGAGGTGCAAGTATAAGTTAAAACATGAATTTAGACCATCTACAAAAATATATTGAATATTTATCTTGGACACTTAAACTAAATCATGCATGAATGCATAGTTTTCGTATATTAAATTTTAGTACGATGAATACGTAAATTCAATAAGTTAACGTATGAAGTTGTAATATTTGAAAGATACAATGAACATCTATGGGTTACTCAAAACTTTTTGGGGGCATGAGGGATAATATCTCTCGTAATCACATAATTGTTTACATATTTGATCGGCCATGGTAGACTTTTAGACAAGTGAGAATTCATTGTTAATATGATGTTTACAATGTTTATGCAATATTATAGTAATTAAGTCACCATATATTCGATGAATTATATTAAAATTGTATGATCAATAAATATAGAGGTGCAAGTAAGTTAAAACATGAATTTTGACCATCTACAAAAATAGATTGAATATTGATATTGGACACCTAAACTAATGTTGGGTTTCCGACATTTGCCAGGTCAGTATAAGGGTGCGTTTGGATACAAGGATTTGGATTTGGTATTTGTGATTTGGATTTTCAAATACCAAATCATGTGTTTGGATATTAATTACATTTGGTATTTGGATTTGTGTCAAATTCATGGGGTGATTTCAAATACATGTCTAGTGTATTTTTTGTCAACTTCAAATACATTTCAACAACTAGTGATTTGAAATACCTCCTAACAAAAGAATGGACCTATTTGTAAAATATGAAAAGTTTAGGTACTATAGTGTGAGGCAAAACATATAAAGGTACCAAAATGTAATTTTACCATCAAAATTTCAGGACCTTTTTGTAAAATTTTAAAAGTTTAGGTACTAAATTGTAAGAAAAAATAATTTCGGGTACCAAACTGTAATTTGCCAAAATTTGTAGTAAGTGGCCAGAAAATTAAAAATTGAAATTGAAAATCATAAATACAAAAATACAAACAAATTACAAATGAGTATCCAAACAATGAATTTGAATTACATGTATTTCAAATGTTAATACTTCAAATACATCCATTTCAAATGCTAGTATTTCAAATACCTTACATTTAAAATACACTTATCCAAACGCACCCTAAGTGTTAGTAGATGGGAGATCCCCTTTCTATAACTTTGACAGGTGGTGCGGAAATTGAGCGGTTATCTCTTACTAATTTTCTAAATTCTCTACCCCCTGATTTCATCAATTGTGGTCCAAGTCGAGTGGTTTGGGATATCTTGGAGAGCTCCTCCTTCTCTGTCAATTCTCTTTACAGGTTTCTTGCAGATGAATGATTCCCAAGTTGTCCAAGGAGGAAACGACGAGGACCTAGTTGTAAATTTTGTATTATTTAGGTACTGTATAGGTAGTTTGTATGTAATATATATAGGTTGTGATGTAAAGGATAATGGATCTTTTTTTCCAATTAATGAAATCTGCCTGTAGGCTTCTCTAAACGACATGGTATCAGAGGGTGTATCACACCTTTCTTGCTTTCTTTGACTTTTGAGTCATTTTCTTGTGATTTCTCGAGGGTTCCAGGAGAAGTGAACATCTCGTTCCTTTCTCCCTCCTCTGTTTCTGCTTTTCGATCCAGTATTCTGCTTCCGTTTGCTTTTCCGATTCGTTCCTCTGTTCTTCGATTCTTGTGGCGATCGAGTCTCGATTCTTCGATTCGTCTCTTTTCTCTGCAAAGAGGTCTGGAACCTCGGATTATGGTCTCGAACAAGAACTTCCACAAAACAGGGCTGTTTTATGGTTTGGATGTGAAGTTTCGTGCAACTTTCACCCGGGAAAGAGGCTCGAAAACTATAAGTCGAAGCTTGGCCACGTTCAATGTGACTAATCGAACGATACAAGCACAAGATCGAACTAGAATTTCCCTAGGACGATCTCAAAACCCACAAGCAAGAAGCTATGGCGATAAACTCTCGGTTTATTCGATTAACTCTCAAAAACTGACTATTACATCATGGACGCGAACTTAAATAGGTAAAGTAAACTTACAACACAAGCAAACAATGTTCTAAACAAACCAGAACTCAAAGGAAACCAAATCCAATTCGAAAACAGAAAGAATTCCTAAATCGTGAACAATCCGAATCCGAATAGGACTCGGATTTCTTGCTTCTCCAGGCAGCAGCTTCACTGTCGACACGAACTTCTGCCTCTTTGTTCGAATCCTTCTAGGCATCAATCCGCTCATCCAATCCCACGACGTTGCTCAAGAAAGTATGTAGTTTCATGTGGTAGAGAGCTTGAAGCTCGACTCATGCTGACCTCCTTCGTACAAACCTCCAAAAGTGCCAACTCGAACTCACCTCCTGCCTTAGCCAAATTCTGGCAGATTCTCGGTTTCAACATAGGGTTTTGATAGGCTTCGAAAACAACCTTCCTGGCCTCCTTTTGATCTCTAAAATGTCCCAATGGAATCAGAAACTCTTCCTCTGCAAAACAAACGCAAGAACTTGGATTTCCACCACACCAATAAGGAGTTATAGCTGTCCAAAGTAGTGTACCCGAGACGTGTTCAACACTTAGCCAAAGTTCAGGAAGCAAAGTGGTGAATATGATTCTTCCTTGGACAATCAAACCAAGCTTGTCAATGGCCTTGAATGGAATCATATCAAAAACTAGACTGATAAGGAATAGTTAAAAAACCACAAATCTAGAAAAATACAGGATAATGATAAACTACCAGGACACTGATATCAATACCAGTACTCACATATGAGTATAATCATAAACTACCAGTTCACTGACATCAATACCAGTTCCACACCAAAAACCCAGATCTGGGTATGGTAGAGAGAGATAGTGGGACAGAGAGAGCTACCTCAGATTCTTCGTCGTCGTCGCCGAGAAGGGGAGGATGGCCAGTGTAGGAAGGGGAGACGGGTCGTCATCTTTGCCGGGAATGTGAGGAGGGTCATCGTCTTCTTTGTCGATCCGTTCACGGTGCCAAACTTGTGGAAGGAGATGGAGAGTTACGGCAAGCTTGGCGTTAACGTTGCTCGGAGAACAGCGACAATCACCATCTAAGACATAGCCCACGACGGAGGATGTGGGACGGAGGGTGATGTGGACTGTGACGGTGAAGAGGCGACGACGGCGAGCAGGGGAAGAGGGGATCGAGGGAGAGAGGAGGAAACGAAAGGGAGAGAAGAAAAGGGTTTCGAATTGGGGGTGAGAACCGTTTTTCCCCAGATTCTTTTCCTTTTCCAATGTTGCGAGAGAAATTAATTATGTAATTAATGTCTAAAAAAACAGGTGATTAATCCTTACCATTGAATTAGATTGATGGTATCTAAGATGGGTGTCAAAAATCAAACCTCCTTAAGAGGGTAGTCACGCTAACCGCTCCCGTGGGATGAGAGTATTTGTTACTAGACCTATTCGACCAGTAGCTTAGCTTCCCACCTTTCCACATTTATCTGCTTTGTGTGTCGTGTTGAATGACACATGATGGAGCATTATTAACTCACACGAGAGAAATGCATCAGTTATTGATGCGTGTGTCCTAAGCCCTCCAAACACAAGTTATGAGTGTTCTGTGATTTCCTTCAACTTAGTGTTACATTAATATTGATTCAATATATTAGCAATCCGTCCAGGTCCAACTCCAGCCAACCTATACAGCTAGCAAGCAATTAAAATGACGGAGAAGGACAAGCTCGGTGCTACAACAAACAATCATACACACATGCCAAATGTTGTTGCTGCTGATTGCAACCCCACCATGTGTGGCCTCATCATCATCATTCATCAAGAACAATAAAGCTACACGTTAATTCCTCTTGTATGGGAGAGAAATCATGATTTGGATGTCAATCGCTTTGGGTTATGCTCTGGTTGATGGGTGAACTCGAAATCGACATGGACGAAAGCTCGTTCCACTTCTGGGAGTCGCTCCATCTTCTCTTGGAGTGTCTCGCCTATGTTATGGGCCTCGCACAGAGACATGTCTGCGGGCAACACTATGTCTGCCTCCACAAAGTAGTGACAGCCAAACGTATAGGCCCTTACAGTGTCAATGTGCTTGATCTCCTTGTGGTGGTTCCATATCAGATATATGAGCTTTGCCAAGTACTCCGGTGGCGCAGTTCTTCCTATCAATGACCCCACGTTCTCCATCACTGTTCCTGACCAATTCCAAATTGTGTACACCGCTATCTGCATTATATTTCATTTTGATGTTAAGTTACGAGATAGTTAGTATAGTATGTGTTACTCATTACTATTTTGATGTTGTCAGTGCATACAATAAGATTAGAGGAAAATGAGCATCACTACTTACAAGAATGGCTCCAAGTGGGTCTAAAAACCAGTAGAATTTGATGGACAATATAGCAGCTGCTAGACCGATTGAGTTGGTGATGACGTCAAAGAAATGGTCTTGCGCGTAGGCCCTCACAATTTCGTTCTGGAATCGGCGGCAATATACGGTGAGCCCAAATTTGATCAGAGTGACTGATGCCATGATCCCAATCATCCAGTTCACTTTGTTAGGGTCATCCTCTGGTTTAGCCTGCACCACATCCACAACCCATGGATATATATAAGCATAAGAATGAATGAATGACTAGTCTTTATTCTATCCCTCTTGTCCATCCCAAACAACCAACCAACCAACCTTTGCGATGAGTTCCCTCCCAGATTCGAAGATGATTTGAAGCCCCAAAGTAGCCATTACCGAGGCGAAAACCACTATCCCCTGCAGAAGAAGCAAGGCTCCCATTACATTTGAATCTTTCTGGAGGGAGGGATGACAGTGAGAGAAGTTTTAGAAAGAAGTGATTGATTACCACGGGTTGCATCCTCTGCTTTCCAATCGGGTACCGATACTGATTGGGCTTTCTCATGGCATGATCAGTGAACCAGAGAATGAAGCCAGACATGAGGTCCAAGAAAGAGTCCACCGTCGAAGCTATCACCGCCATCGATCTGCTCTCCACTGATGCATACACCTTGGCCGCGAACAACACCAAATTCGCCACGTTCGACACATAGATTGCCAATTTCTCCCCTCTTGCCACTTGTTTCAGTTCCTTCTGTACTCCTCCCACCATCAAAGTAAAAGTAAACCAACCACACACGACTTAAGCAGCTGCCATCTCGTTCTCGACACGGCCGGCCGTAACTTGAATGAATTTTGTGTGTGTAGGGTCAGGAAGTTGTTACCTCAGTCAATTCCCCAGGCAGAACACCCATCTCGGCAAAAGAGTCCACTTCGTTGAACTCCTTGAGAAGGTTTTGCTGGGCCCTGTAGTATTGGGCAACCTCCCTTTCCTTGTCTGTAGTTTACGATCAATAATTCAAGTATGTTAATGTTATCTACCTAACCTACCAATTAATCGTGACTAAATTGGAGATGGACGTAGTCACGTAGATGAAGGTATCATCATAAATAAATACTTGTAGTATTAATAATCATGTAAAATGTAATTACTCATAAATGGTGCAAGAAAAGAGGGAATATTGCAATTCTCAGAGACAGAGTGGCCCTGCCTCCGACTCTGCCTCTGATGCCGTTGAGGATGGGACGGCAACTGGAACTTGTCGATGTCTAGGCGCCATGATGGTACGGCGGCGACACTCTCTCCCGGCGGAGGAGGGGACAAAAGCTCAATTCTGTAGTCAAACGAATCTATGCGAGGACTAGGTGTGCGTGAACCCACCATCCTCAATTAATCTTCTCTCTGCCTCTCGTCTCGCCTACTTAGTTAGCGACTCATCTGTTTTAGTGATGAAGAAAAGGGGAAGGAGGGATGGTTTGGTTTGGTTTGACAGCCTTGTATAGTACTCGCTAGTCCATGAGTGATCAATATATACGATACGCATCTCTTCCTCCCTCCCTCACTCTGTAACTGGAGTGGCGATAAAGAAAGGAAACGAAAGATGGTCCGGTCCATCCAGGCCTTGTCTCGAATTGTTTATTAGCAAAAGCAACTAAGAAAAAACCCAAATTGCTTGCGTTGCGCATATGAATTGTCGGCAGTATTCATGCTCAATCAATATATTCGGTACTACCACCTAAGAGAGTTTGAGTTTTTCCCCCGGTTTTATTAGTTAGGAAATTCAATTCAATTGGGTAAATAATAATCTCCGAGGCAGGAGCAGGAAGGAAAGCAGGACAGACACACACTGGCCGAAAGCTGAAGCCTATTACGTACTGCTGCTACTGCCTTTTGTGTTGGAAGAGCTACCAATTCAACTACCCCACTACTGCTGCTACTGCCTTGTAGAAAGAAGTGGGAGCATACCTAATCCGCAAGCGCTATATTAATCATTCTATTACGTAACGTGCTTTACTTGACTTCTTTCACTGCCGGAAAGGATAAAAAGGGTTCACATACATAATGGACCATGACGTGGATCCATCCAAATTGGTTGGTTCTAATTGCCTTTTGGGGTGGGGGTCGTCTTTTCTTTTCTTTTCCACAACCAAGTGCAGCATGCAGCAGCCTGCAGTGCAGTGCAGTGCAGGCAGCTGCATAATATATGCCTTCAATTCAAACAATCCCACCCACGTCGGTCCATGAGTGCGTATGCAATATGAAAGCATTTAGAGAAAACTTAGATAGACCAACAAAATAACAAAGTTACAGAGAGAGAGAGAGAGAGAGAGAGAGAGAGAGAGAGAGAGAGAGAGAGAGAGAGAGAAGAGAGTATAGGTATAGTTACAGCTACAGCTACATACATACTTGGTGGAAATGCAGAGATACCGAAACAAGGCCGAGTAGACCGGACGTAGAGATCGTCCGCCGCCGCTGCCGCCATTACCTTGATAATTTTCAAGTCGTAATCATCCAGGTTTAGTCTCCACGCCACCCCTTCCTCTGCAGTATCCTCCATACCGTAACAACAATCCTCATCTAATTTGTCACCACTCCTCCCCTGATCCTCCCCTGCTCCACCCACCATGCTAACACTACACCAGAGTCCAGACTACTATCCTATTCCTATGTAATGTACTATTGATCCCTTGGCTTGGCTTGGCTATAGTTGCTAGCTGTGGGCACTCAACATAGATAGAGATGTATACAGATCGATCTCGCCGCCTGCCCTGCCCTGCCCATATATATGTTCATAAAATAAAAGCACTCCATCGATCAGTCCATAAAATTGGACGCGTGTTCTCCATGAGTATCTATTGCTTGCACCGTGACTGACTGTGACACCAACGCTCTGTTCCTAAAGAACCAAAAATCCGATCCAACCAAAGCTTAATTATTTCCATAAAGTCTGTTCTTGCGGAGTTAAAAACTCAACTCACAAAGGCATGGGGGCATATACTTTGTCCTTGACTAACTCTTCTTTGTCCCATCCCATCCTCTGTTCAGGCATAATCCGCCGTCGAATGCATATCCTCTAGCTAACAGCTGCCTGCCGCACTAGCAAATATCCACTTTGCCTGTCAATGCGATCCCTGACCCGCCGGGCGATTCCAAATTATATTATGTCAATACTCAATAATCTAGTTTCTCCTTTCTCTAGTTTATTTCAGTTCTTGGAGTATAAACCTAAGTATATATATACATCAAATCAAAATAATAATATGACCATCATTTATAAGTATACAACGGACCATTAAACTTTTTTACCGACCAACATCGCATATATGAATCAAATTGTACAGCGACAAATACAAGACTAATTCAGTATATAATTGTCGTTGTTCTATAGAAAATGAGCTTGCCATTGGGTTAAGTGTTGAGGCTCCAGTGGCATGGCTTTTGCCTGCAAAGTCAATGACCAGCTGCTAGTGGATCAAAAATGAAGAAACATAGAAACATTCATCGGTAGCAACATATATATGCATGGCACATAATTTGCTATTCCCTTCTAATTTAATCATGGTATTCCATGTTTGATCCACAAAAACTCATAGAGAATATAGAGAAATTAATAAACGTGGAATTGTAGGCTTTAGTTCTTACTTTTAACTACACCAAACAATTTTAATTACCTATTTATTATTTAAGAAAAATGACAAAGAAGAGCTGAGTTGCACTCTGTCAACTTGAAAGGGAGTTGGAGAAAGGGATGACTTCTGTCTTCTGAGTTCCAACTTCAAGACATTTGGGACATTGAGTGAAAAATTGGATTTGTCCTAGGCGAGATTCATAATATTTGGAATTGCGATGTTAGTTGGTCTTAATATTCAATCTTGTAAAGGTTGGATACCTGTAAACAATAATGAAAGTATTTGTAAGTTGGATACCACTCTTGACTATTTGGTATACAAAGTATTAGACTTGTACATTAAATCCTCTATAAATTAATACTCAATAAATTAATAATCTAGTATAAATTACTAAATTTTTCAGTCCGACTTGGACCAATGTAAAAAATGAGAAAATTTAATAAAAAATATAATAATAATTTTTTAGAACCAACATACATAAATACATGTATTTTCAATTATATAAATATATGATTATAAACTTGTAAATATAAAATTCATTAGGAAATTTATAATATAACTAGTATAACGTAGAAAAATATGAACCTATAGTAGTTTGTTTCTTATTGAAGTTCAAGTTCAATATAAGTTAATCTTGAACTTTTCTCATCGCACTCAAAATCTTCGGTGTTGTCTTCTCTAATTGCACCAAGTAGTTTTGAAGAGTCGATGCGTCTCTAAGTGCTTCCTTTCACGTGATCGGTTCCAAAGATGTTGAATAATCATGTCCTTCTTTCTAAATCGAACTCCTAATGACGCCGACCACAATTTCTTCTAAACTTTGTGTCTAGATACATTCATCATTTCCACCCGGATACTCCAGCAACTTACTTACATCCATCTTGTTATCAACAACTAACTTAACACTTGTCATCCTTATTGCAACAAATAACAATTTAAGTATTTCCTTGTTTCATTTTCTTCTTTCGAGTTGTTTTGTTGCAAAGGAATGATCAGCTTGTAACGTGAAAAATAAACCAGTCTCATCCATGTGAATTACATCTTTCCCGGAAAATTGATCCATTTTTTCGTCTTATGGACTCCAACTTGCTCTCCATATCTTGTGTATCGACCAAGCCGCTTTCTCTAAAATGATGAAATGACTTGATGCATGTCGGTTCTTGAACTTATCAATCCATCCTTGGGAAAGTTGATAATTTGTAGGAGGTTGAGACCTGAGGAGTTTCAATGGTGCATTTGCCTTCTCCAAAATTAGATCACATGTCATATTCACTTGATCTTGGTTTTGAATAAATCATACAAAAATAACATTCTCCATGTCTGGTGGCTTGGGAGCTCCTCCTTGATCTAGTTCAACCGATAGGTACTCCGACGATCGCTTAAGAGTTTTATTATATACTTCTTTGACTAACTTTCAAATGTAATGTTTAGTCAAGTCCATCATATCTTTTTGGGTGCATGAGGGATGATATCTCTCGTACTCACATAACTGTTTACATATTTGATCGGTCATGGTAGATTTTTGAACATTTTTCAAGTGAGAATTTAATTGTTGATATGATTTTTACTATGTTTATGCAATATTATAGTAAACGGGCCACCATATAATCGATAAGTTATACTAAAGATATGACCAATGAATATAGAGGTGCAAGTATAAGTTAAAACATGAATTTAGACCATCTACAAAAATAGATTGAATATTTATCTTGGACACTTAAACTAAATCATGCATGAATGCATAGTTTTCGTATATTAAATTTTAGTACGATGAATACGTAAATTCAATAAGTTAACGTATGAAGTTTTAATATTTGAAAGATACAATGAACATCTATGGGTTACTCAAAACTTTTTGGGGGCATGAGGGATAATGTCTCTCGTAATCACATAATTGTTTACATATTTGATCGGCCATGGTAGACTTTTAGACAAGTGAGAATTCATTGTTAATATGATGTTTACAATGTTTATGCAATATTATAGTAATTAAGTCACCATATATTCGATGAATTATATTAATTGTATGATCAATGAATATAGAGGTGCAAGTAAGTTAAAACATGAATTTAGACCATCTAAAAAATAGATTGAATATTGATATTGGACACCTAAACTAATGTTGGGTTTCCGACATTTGCCAGGTCAGTATAAGTGTTAGTAGATGGGAGATCCCCCTTTCTATAACTTTGACAGGTGGTGCGGAAATTGAGCGGTTATCTCTTAGGGTGTTGGATACAATGATTTGGATTTGGTATTTGTGATTTGGATTTCCAAATACTAAATCATGTGTTTGGATATTAATTACATTTGGTATTTGGATTTGTGTCAAATTCATGGGGTGATTTCCAAATACATCTCTAGTGTATTTTTTGTCAACTTCAAATACATTTCAACAACTAGTGATTTGAAATACCTCCTAACAAAAGAATGGACCTATTTGTAAAATATGAAAAGTTTAGGTACTATAGTGCGAGGCAAAACATATAAAGGTACCAAAATGTAATTTTACCATCAAAATTTCAGGACCTTTTTGTAAAATTTTAAAATTTTAGGTACTAAAGTGTTAAAAAAATAAATTTGGGTACCAAACTGTAATTTACCAAAATTTGTAGTAAGTGACCAGAAATTTAAAAATTGAAATTCAAAATCATAAAATACAAAATACAAACAAATTACAAATGAGTATCCAAACAATGAATTTGAATTACATGTATTTCAAATGCTAATATTTCAAATACATCCATTTCAAATGCTAGTATTCCAAATACCTTACATTTAAAATACACTTATCCAAACGCACCCTTACTAATTTTCTAAATTCTCTACCCCCTGATTTCATCAATTGTG